GAAGCCAAATTAAAAACGCAATATATAACATCCCGAGGCTGTCTGGAAGGCGATAATGAGACCGTGGGAGAAATGTGTCCTGTAGCACAGTAGTCTACGTCCTGGGCTCACAATCCATGAGGGGCCCGGGTTCAATCCTCGGGTTACAGGACGGTAATGGTTATATATATATTCCTGTCCACGAGAACCGGGAAGGCTTGAAAACCCTCCTGAACAGATGTCCGCCACCCTAATCTAACCCAGTGTGAGCTAACCTAATTTGTCCTATCCTAACCTAACCGAAATAAGATGTAATAGGTTCTGTTTTATATGTGTGACGTCACTATGATGTCACATATAGCACAATATGACGTTACTATGTACATTTCCCCCTGTTCACGTACCGGAGACAACGGGAGTTAGATGTACTTACTGCGAGAGGTCATGGTAGTCTCAGGTCATGGCGGGAGTGTAGGTTCCATGTAACTCCTTTGTTGGCGGGAAAGTGCCGTCTCAGCTCCTAGCTCGCGTGCAGAACACGTATACTTCCAGTGGTATCACCAGGATTCGAATGCTAGAGGTTAGCTTTGCACGTCACTGTTCAGTGGTCGCCGTGTTGACAATGGGAGAGGGACTCTATATGGTGATGGTCGCGGGTGGTGAGAGTCAAGGGAGAAAAGGATCAGAGGAGAGCCAGTGTCTTCTTTATATACACCTCGTTGTCGCGTCCCAACTCGTTGACAGGATTGACCCCTCCCTCCTAACCCCACCTTACACTCCCCCAACCGCCTTGTCTATCCTGGTCGTCATCTCTCCTTGCCCCTCTCCCCCTTGGCTTCACTCCCCCCTCACCCAGTCTGCTAATCCCCCTTCCCCCGCATCTCTTTGCTGCTTTCATCCTCTGCCCCACCTCTATCCCCTCTTCCCGGTAACCACTCTCTCCCCCCTCCTTAGTCTTCATTCTCCACGTTCCCATAACCCCCTCCCCTCCTCCCTCTCTCTCACTCCTCCCCTCCCTCTCTCTCACTCCTCCCCTCCCTGCTGCATCACACACACTGAGTTCTCACACTAAATCCACTGCCGCCGCCTGCCCGCTTGGCAAATTCAAATATTGGATGTCGGTGACTAAAAATGAAGAGTAAACACGAATCAACACCATTCCCCAACTAGCCCAATAACAACTGAAATCAATGTTGGAATGCTGTGACTTTCCTTCCTCTCCATCTCTGTGGTTTCTTTATCTCCCTGTGACTTCCTTCTCTCACTGTACTCTCTCTCTCTCTCCCTCCGTGTGATGAGTTCCGCTTCACAGCTCTCACTACTGGGAGAGGCACAACATCATACACAGGTGACACCATCGCCGGTAAACGAATAAAAACTATAACAATCACCGGCCAGCAGCGCCCGGGTAATTGGCCAATGTCCACTTTTCCGCGCCAGCAAGTTCACAGCCATCTTGGATTGTCGGCCTTTCCGCCTTAACAGGTCTCCCGGCCAAAGTTTTCTGCTCGCACCGTCCTCTGTTTCCTTGGACCTGTCATCCAGGGATGACTCAAGAAAATGACGCTAATTCACTGAGACAGACATACGCTGGGAGTTTTTTTTCGTAAGTTTTATTGCTACATTTTCTGTTATGTCTGTATGTTATACAGACAGACGTTATTCTGAAGCAGTAGCAAAATGAAGAGAGAAATCGCTGTTGATAGAAGGAAAAATATCGTCATAATCTATCAATGGAGTAAACCTTCCAGATTAGCCTTACAAAGTTGGTCAGGCAAAATGATCGCTTTATGTCACATGTTCGGATTCCTGTCGCTCAGTCAAACATCTCCTTCACGAACCGCGAACATTAAATATATAAATCACTTACTTCATATGAAGTTTATTCACAGTTGCTATACATAAGCAAAGTAAGTTTTCTTTTGCCCAGTGCAAGAGATTTATCTTCAAGTAAGCATCCATACACGGAATAAGCGAAGGACAGAGGAGTCAGGATTCCGGACGCGGGAGGGCGATTATGGCGCCAAAATCTGACTCGTGGCGGGAAAGTGGACATCCGGCGAGATTCTGGCGGGAAGTGGAGCGCGCACCGACGGACGGACAAACAACCGCCATTGACGGAATTATCGGCAAACACGACTTGAATATTTGACTTGTTGTGGGGCTCCCTGAAGATGCTGGTAACGGTGTCTCCTGCGTCCCCACTACCCCCTCCTCTCTCTCTCTCTCTCTCTCTCTCTCTCTCTCTCTCTCTCTCTCTCTCTCTCTCTCTCTCTCTCTCTCTCTCTCTCTCTCTCTCTCTCTCTCTCTCTCTCTCTCATCCACTTACAAGCAGCAAGTTACCGCAAAAGCAGTAATGGGTACACTCTGATATAGATAAACTCTCACTGCACCTGTCATTACCACCAAATAAGTATTTTATCAAAGGTAAGTTTGCAGTTGGCTCAAGTTCATTATCCACACTTGCTGCTACTTACCAGTTAACACTTTACTGAAATTTTGCATTATGTGACGTTCAGTCAAGGGGGGAAAAAAAGAGGTTGTTTAAGTGTAAGTCTCTGCTGCCTCCCCATCTGCTGCCTCCCCATCTGCTGCCTCCCCATCTGCTGCCTCCCCATCTGCTGCCTCCCCATCTGGACTAATGCATCCAAACAAGACCTCATCTTCAAAAGGACACATCTACTTTAGCACTTTGGAGGAAGTTCAACATCGAGCGGCAAAAAAACAAAAAAAAAACAAGGAGGTCCACAGTCCCCGTGGTGTAGTGGTAACACACTCGCCTGACGCTTCGCGAGCGCTTTGTCCTGGGTTCGTATCCTGGCCGGGGGAGGATTTACTGGGCGTCAATCCTTAACTGTAGCCTCTGGTCACCCAACAGTAAAATGGTTACCTGGTTGTTAAACGATTTGGCGGGTCGTATTCTAGGGAACATAGGATTAAGGACCTGCCCGAAACGTGCTAGTGGCTGTACAAGAATGTAAGAACTCTTGTATATATAAAAATATATCTTGTATTAAAAAAACACCCACACTGGGAACGACTGAGAACCACACGACTAACAACACAACACACCAGACGTAAACACGACTGATTTAATCGAGACCTTTAAAATACAGAACAATTTAGAAGATATTAAACCCAGACCACTTCCGTAAAGGGTCAAATGTAACACATACAAGAGACAACAGCTTCACGCTCATTAAGTTACATCATAAGACAGAGAGAAAGTACGAGATACGTTTCACCCATACGGTTATAATCCCATGGAACCGCCTACCCACCGAAGCTGTAAATTACAAGACATTCCATTAAAAATCATGTTGGAAAAAAAAAACACCAGGAAAATGTTGAGGCCTCTGACAAGCCGCCAGCTTCCTGTCGCTATCGAAACCTCAAGTGAGTCTTAAATGGCCTTCGGGTAAATAATATCTGAAATCATATATAATTTCTAATGTGGGGAAAAGGAAAGGAAACTATCAAGGGCAAGCGCTAAACCATTAAGACTATATAGCCCTTGGAAGGGATATGAGGATAAGGATAAGGGGGAAAGGAATGGTGGCCAACCACTTGGACGGTCGGGGATTGAACGCCGACCTGCATGAAGCGAGGCAGTCGGGGCGCTTATTAGTTGTGTTTTGGGTTTAAGACCTATCAACTGGGTTATTAAGGCCATCACATTATAGACACGAGTTTAGTGATCAACCAACAATTATACGATAGTCCTCAACATAATCCAGGCCTAAACTCAGTGTATATACACCCAGAGGCGAGGTATACCTCTCAATGCATATAAACCGAGAGGCGAGGTATACCTTTTAGTGTATATACACCCAGAGGCGAGGTATACCTCTCAGTGTATATACACCGAGAGGCGAAGTATACCTCTCAGTGTATATACACCCAGAGGCGAAGTATACCTCTCAGTGTATATACACCCAGAGGCGAAGTATACCTCTCAGTGTATATACACCGAGAAAGCAGTACATATCTGTGTATAGATCCTAACTCTGGACTCAGGTAGTGAAATATTTTATAAAATACAAATAATTGAACAATAAACATTTTTCTTTTAAATGGGAATGATTTGTATTTTTTTGTGTATGATGTTATTTGTTATGAAACCTGAAATAAATACTAAAGTTTCATTCAGGTTCCATATTAGAAGAGATAATCGGCATTGCTTGTTTCCAAAAAAATATTTGTAAATACGTTTTCCTAGGTCTTATAGGCCCTTAATTATCCCCTCTTAGGCTTGTATTGCCTCTTCGTATCAGTCCCGAACCCCCTTTTAGGCCTAGATGTTTTGGGATTTAATGACAGGTATACAATAGGCCCTATTTTGAATTTTTGAATTCCGTTCAACGGTATCCGAATGTTGAATTCCGCTCATCGGTGTCCGAATACTAAATTCCATTCAACTGCGTTCGCGTGTCAAATTATTATCAAAGATGTCCGAACGCACAGCGGACAGGCACACTATTTATCTATGAATGAATACTGCAACCGACGAGTAGATAAAGCTAAACTCAAATTCGATAAGAAAATAGGCGAGCCCTTGCAACACTTGGCTTAACAAACAACACTCTATCATTGGGCAATGATCGTCCAAGATACGACACGCGCCAGGCGCATTTCTAAACTTGTCCGTGGTGGGTCATCGTAACACCATCTTCTCAAACACAAATTACTAACTACTATTATGCATTATGGTTTTTTGTAAAGTTAGATCTAAGTTTTAGGCAAGTTAAGGTCTTGGTTCTGTTGGCATTTGTCTGTATTTGCTAGTACGTGGGTGAAGCATTTAGAAATGTGCGTTTCGAACACAGGAAGAAAGTGACGCACTGTTCGAGAAAAGTTGGAACCTAATCGTTTGGAAGCCATGGGTGAAGTATTTTTCGTTATTAAACAACACAGCTGCTGTTGGATTTACGAGAATTTGAACAATGTTTATGAGGACGGGCACCTAAATTAATATACGAGATTCAGAAGCCCGCTAACGGAATGATCCCGAGTTCAAAGCTTTAGAAATGAACGCTATGAAGCACACGCCGACCCGGACTCCGAGTGCTGTTGTTATTGCTGCGGGAGACATGGCGGACCCCAGGCCGCCAGCTACAGTGGACGCCGCCATGGACGTAGAACGTAACCCAAACTCAGCTGTCAACGACGACGATAACCTGACGCAGGATGCCCAGGTGAGTACCCACTCGTCAATCCAGTACGAGTCCTAAGGATACCAATAGGACAGTACGCGGTCTCGGTAGTTAGACCTGTACTAAGCGTGTGTACGAGCCTCGCCGCTCACTGTTAGAAAGGCGGGGTCCAAGAGCTAATAGCTCGATTCTGCAGATACAAATAGTAAATACTGAGTTTCCACAAGTTTCCATGCATAGGCTCAGCAAAGGGGGAGGCCTATGGAGAAATTTTATATAGTAGTCATCCTTGCTAAGACATTTATTTCGATCATTAGCTTATTACACGAGAACAAGCTTAGTGTTGCTGTGGCAGTGTGGGAGGAATATTGTGGCCGTGGCAGTGTGGGAGGAATATTGTGGCCGGGGCAGTGTGGGAGGAATATTGTGGCCGGGGCAGTGTGGGAGGAATATTGTGGCCGGGGCAGTGTGGGAGGAATATTGTGGCCGGGGCAGTGTGGGAGGAATATTGTGGCCGGGGCAGTGTGGGAGGAATATTGTGGCCGGGGCAGTGTGGGAGGAATATTGTGGCCGGGGCAGTGTGGGTGGGGGGAGGAATGTTGTTGCTGTGGCAGTGTGGGTGGTGGTAGGGGAGGAGTATTGTGGCTGGAGCAGTGTGGGAGGTGGTGGGGGAGGAATATTGTGGCTGGGGCAGTGTGGGTGGTGGTGGGGGGACGAATATTGTGGCTGGGGCAGTGTGGGAGGTGGCAGTGTGGGAGGAATATTGTGGCTGGGGCAGTGTGGGTGGTGGTGGGGGGATGAATATTGTGGCTGGGGCAGTGGGGGAGGAATATTGTGACGGGCAGTGTGGGAGGTGGGGGGGGAGGAAGGGTGGTTACCCATGTGTATAAACCTACTGCTGATTCCAAAATTGATTTAAACTCGACCACTGTTCAGCTACATCTTTCTGCACGGTTGACTCGACTAAAAAAATATTTGTTAGTGTTACCAATATTTCTCCTCGTGGTGTTCCGTCCATGCCCCTGTGGAGGGTTCCCTTTCCTATGTTTTGTAAAACTGACCCAAGTGACTAAAGCTTTTACCCTTACCACAGTTTTGAAATGCCTTTTCCTTGAACACTTTTCTTCACACTCCCGCGCGATTTCTGTCTACACCGATGGGTTTAAGTTTGCAGACGGTGTAGGCTACTCTGTTGTTTTTCCTGACCACACTTGTATGTGTCGCCTGCCTCAGGAGACTAGCATCTTCACGGCAGAACTTTGCTATTCGCTATGCAGTTGACGAAGATGTCTTCAACTGCTTTTTCGCTGTTAATCTTCCGTCGCCGCCCTGCTCTCTATTGTCCAAACGGAAATGTCCCTCTTACGGTCGTGTATATTCTTTTTGACTGTCCTAACTTCAGGACGAACATGTTTTGCTTTCCGACCGTCCCACGCAGTCACTTGTCCCTCGTTTAATGCTTTGTGAATCGGAGATTTGATATCGTTTGCCTTATGCGTTTTTGTTCTCGTATTGGCGTCTTTAATATATTTAACACCCTCTGATTATTCCGCACATTTGATGGTGCTACATAGCCTTCCCGGCTTGGTGCCTTCCGTTGACAATTACTTATCTTAGATGGCCCTACTTCTAGTTGACCCTAAAGTCATATCATCCAAGTCTCTCCACCCCCCCCCCATCAGTCAATGCACTAGCACGTGGCCCTTTTTGGGGGTAGAGAAGTCCTAAAACGATGTTCTTAACACCTTCCCCCTCCCTTTACCAGGATGCTATAGAGTACGACAACTACTCCCGACGCTCATCCCTCGGGGCCGACTCCGTGCTAGATCAGGACTTCAGCGAAGATGGGTTCCTTGACGTCGACGGCGCTCCCTCCAACACGCCCCTGGAGGTCGTCCTCGGGATGCAGTACGCCGATGACATCTTCGCCATTAGGAAGACCATGGAATACCGCTATCACGCTTCCAACTGCATGGCAGATCAGCCGCAGGTGAGGTACCTCGGCGTCGTCTAGCTCTCAATGGTTTACTTTTTTGTTAATCTGGTGTTATATCCCATTCTGATTCCCTATATATGATATATTCCCCATATATTCCCTGTATGTTATATCTGATTCCCACCCGTGTTCTTCAGGGAGTTCTATAGCTCATGGTTAAATCTTTTACCCAAATAGTTTCTATGGATGATCCGCCAGGCGGTTTCCAACCATGTTTCCAAATTACCGCTGGGTGATCGAGGATGAAATAGATAAAGGATTGGGGCCTATTTGATCCTCCTTACCAACGCTCGAGCCAAGACGAAATCGCATTTTAGTGTATTCACGAGTTGTTAAAGCTCTAGATTTTGAAAGATTCATTACATAACTTTATTATAATATACTTTGTCCGCTGTTTAGTTATTCTGGACCGACGATCGATCCCCATCTTAAAATATTTCTGGCCGAGCAACCAGTCCTCTGGAATAATGCATAGTATTTTGACTTCTAAATCCCCAATGGACAGAATATCATGTATTATAAAACATACGGCTCGCAGACATTCAAGTTTTCTTTGCGTGGGTCCATCGAATAGGTTAGGTTTGGGCAATGTGGTACAGCATTTTTGTGACGTAGTGACAACTCGAGAGGACGGAGTGAGCCGAAAGTTGAGAGCATCAAAGAGTGAAACGTTAAGCAGTAGCAGAATAAGTTCGAGATTTAGTTGAGCAGATGCACGGGGCTGTGTGTAGTTGAACAATTTAGCAGTAGGCCGTCATTGTCAGACGACAGCCGGGCTATGACTTGTGCCACCATTTAACTCCCTCAGTTATGGGCTTCAATCCTTTCCCTATCAACTATTCCCGTAGTACCAGATGGCGGCATATTTGTAGTGGCATCCTGGTGTATACACAGGGTGTTGTGTAATGGTATAAAAAGAATTGTATAGTGATGCAGCATCAACAAACCCTCTTTTTACAACATTTAATGATTCAAAACCAGGCGTTCCAGCGGCATAGTAAAAGATCCATGGAGTGATGGGCATTGTTTACAATTAAAGATGCATTCAGTCTAATAAAATCGCGACGTTCAATTTAGCGTAAGTGAATAAAATATGCGGACGTGTAGCTGTAGACTTAACATACAGCTGTGCTGATAAGTAGACGAGGCTTGAGGGGGGAAGGGAGGGGAACTATCAGGGGGAAAGCACCAAGCCATTACAATTATATAGCACTGGGAAGGGGTCAGGATAAGGATTTGGGATGGGTCGGGGGGAAGGAATGGTACCCAACCACTTGGGAGGGGGGGGGGATGTACGTAGTACAAATTAGTTCTTGTACTTATTCTTCTGATGCAATGAAAGTTCTAATACAGGCAGGAAATGTTGTCAAACAACGCGTTGTATGAAGAGGCTGCAATTTAAAGGGAGTTAGTTTTAATGTGTTTAGTTAGTTACGTTGTATCAATTGGCAAGATAAATATCAGAAGAAAGCACTCGAGTCAGCGTGACTATACATCACTTAGAACGAGAGTCCTCAATGTCCTAATAACTTGTTAATGCAAGCATTAGTAAGTTTGCTGGCCAACTTTTCTTACCCCCCCTTAGTTAATATAGTTGTCGGGCTTCAGGTTACAGCGAACATGCGATGCACGCTCGTCCACTGGCTCATCAAGGTCAACCATCAGCTCAAGTTTGGCGCAGAGACCGTGTTCGTGGCGGTGAACCTCACCGACCGCTTCTTGGCCGTGACGCCCCTGGCCCAAGACTGTCTCCAGCTCCTGGCCTTGGCCACGCTCTTCGTCGCTGCCAAGATGGTACGTAACAGGACCTGTCCCTCGCCCCTTTTTGATAATTACTAGTTGCCCAACTATTCGTCCTCTTTCTTCTGAGTGCCTGCCTAACTGACACGCCCTCCCTCCATTTCTCTAGAACGTTCCTGCTAGTCTCATTTCCCATATTCCACAAGCATGCCTCTTCCCCCTCCTCCCCCAAAGAGCTTGGCCGCTAACTTTGCTGGTGTGTCAGGAGGAGAGCGTGGTGCCGGGGATCAGCGAGCTGGTGGCCATCTGTGGAGGCATGTACCGGCACCATCACTTCAGACGCATGGAGGTCCTCGTCCTCTCCAAGCTCAAGTAAGATGGTGTTTGGGTGGGGGCTGCTGGGGTCCACCTGCCTTGTTAGTGTGGTTACGTCTCGAGGCTTGCAGGGCGAGTGCCGGTTCCTGGGCCCCCGCCTGCCTTGTGAGCTGTTGTTGGTTTGCACAATGGGATACACGTGTTAGCCATCTGGTTTAATTTTAATATTCTCTGGTTATTTTAATTTTAATCTTGATTTGATCTAGTTTTTTCTTTAAATTTGCGTGCGTGAAATTGCGTGTGTAAGTTCTTATTGCATGACGTAGCCCAATGTTTGAGGCTTTCTAATAAGTTGCTTAATTCCCATCAGGTTCGCGTTGTACGCTCCCACCAGCTGGTACTTCCTGGACCACCTGGCCCTCAAGGCCACGCAAATAGGCACGATAGACAGGTTAGTGCGTGTCATCAGTGCATCGTCAGAGTAACGTAAGAGACGAGCAATCACTGTTTCAAGCGTAGGTTAGATGTGCATATGAATGAGTTTGTGGATACAAGAGCTGCCTCGTATTGGTCAATAGGCTTTCTGCCGTTTCCTTATTTCTCAAGTTAGGTGAATGGGGTTAAAGAGGCTTTTAAATTAGTTTTTCATGGACAAAGCCTGAATATATATGACTTGAGGCTTGTCGAGGTCTCGCCCTCCCTCTTCCTTCCCTCCAAGGTCTCGCTACTGACCCTTCCCCAAGATGCAGGCCCACAACAGTTGCTTAGCTCCTGGGTACCTATTTACTGTTAGGTGAACAGGTCATTACATAAAATGAAACTTGCCCAACCATATCCTTCCCACCGGCTCGTCCTTGAGGCTCGTCCTTGAGGCTCGTCCTTGAGGCTCGTCCTTGAGGCTCGTCCTTGAGGCTCGTCCTTGAGGCTCGTCCTTGAGGCTCGTCCTTGAGGCTCGTCCTTGAGGCTCGTCCTTGAGGCTCGTCCTTGAGGCTCGAGCTGACCAATTCTTGACCAGAGATTTGAGCAGGGATTCGTGGAACAGTTAGCTTCAATCTCTACTCACAATTGGGGATACAGAGTTAGATTCCCATGCCGGACAGAAATGTAGGGAGTGTTTCCTGTCACCTAATGAGTCTGTTCACCAAGAAGTAAATAGGTACCCGAGAGGAAAGGAATTATCAGGGGAAAATCGCCAAGCAATTACGACTATATAGAACTGGGAAGGGATTCGGGATAATGTTTTGGGGATGGGACGGGGGGAAAGAATGGTGCCCAACCACTTGGACGGTCGGGGGATTGAACGCTGACCTGCATGAAGCGAGACCGTCGCTCTACCTTCCGGGTACAAAGCCCAACCACTTGGGCTGGGAGTTGTACAACTGTTGCATGTTGGAGAAGGTTAGCAGTGTGACCTTTGTGAGGGGCAGGGGGGAGTGGGTGATCTCTCTACAATCATAACATATATACACAGGCTTCCTGTTCCCGACAATAGGAATTGCATCTAGAATATTACTTCCTGCTGTATCTAGTTAATGTACCACTTTGTCCCATGTAACGTTTAATCTATTCTGTAACTGGCGTGTTTATAGTGAGAGCTTGAGTGACTTATGTTCTGGCGGGCCCCCAGGCGGGCGATGAGCGTGTCCCGCTACGTAGCGGAGACCTGCCTCAGTAGCTACGAGGTGTCCCAGTACCTGCCCAGCGTCCAGGCCGCGGCGGCCCTCTCCGTGGCCCTGTGCGTCCTCCCCAACGTCTCCTTCTGCCAGACTCTGCATGCTCTGTAAGTTGGTCGTCCCCCTCCTCGCTCGCACTGTGCATGCTCTGTAAGTTGGCCCCCACCTCTCGCACTGTGCATGCTCTGTAAGTTGGTCGATCCCTCCTCACTATCCAAGGAAAGCTTATGCGACTTTAATAGAAAATGCCCAGGTAGTGCCCAGGGCGCATGCCACATTTCCTATACCCAAGACACCACTGATTATAATTTATAGTATTTTTAGAAAAGCTATGATATCCTTTATTTTGTATTTTTTTTCGCATGGATTTTGCTGCGCGTGCTCAAAGCCTCTGGCTGGTCTGCTAAGTGTTACTCATTTCAAAGCTATAATACCTAGTTAAATTTATTGTTAGCACTATAACTTAAAGTTAATCATTTCAGTGGTGCGCCTAGGTTTGTTTACTCAGTACAACCTTCCACGATTCTAAAGGCGCGAATGTTTGTGGTTTTCATCTAGTGAAGTTTTAATAATTGTTTAATATTTATATAACTATGTAATTAGCACGTAAAGACCTGTAACTTTAAGAGAATTTTGGGATTCAGTTCCTGAGCCCATAATGTGCCCCTGAAATTACTAAAATATTCGAAACTAATTGTAAACATTTCCTCGCAAAAAGTTAAAAGTATTTAGTTTAGTTCATTTATTTTGCACACCATGCCAATATTGTGGACGGTGGTCTAAAGGGTTACAAAGGCATAAAATACTTGGTGAAATCATATTTAGAAATGCCATGCACCTCCTTGGATATACAATGAAATTAATTACATTTTGATCCCAGTTCCTGCAGTTTAGTTAAGCCCTAAGCTTACGTTTTCTTATAGCAATTCATAGAAAACGTTACAATGTGAACAAAGGTAAACATAGTATTTTTTATAAAGTTATATAATGGTACCCCCATACTCAAAATTGTTAAATATTTTGTATCTTTAATAAGGTTTATCACTTTATCAGGTAATAAATAACAGTGAAAGGCGTTTAAATCTTAATTAAAATATTAGAATTAAAACCCATTTCACATACCGCTATATTCTTTAAGTTAAATTGCTCTAAATCTAAAATTCATACGCACAAATGAACTTGGTTAAATTTATTTCAGTGAAAACTCGTATCCAGGGTTTATTTAACATACGTGTGCAGGATTATATTTTATAGGAGCAAGGGTGTTGGTAATTATTAAAACTGTTTATGTATACATTAGTATAATAATAACCAGTATAGGAAAGGAGTACCAAATAGTTGAGATGTCTAATTACAGAAAATAAATGAAAATAAGTCCTTCGCAATGATTTAATTGGTAATGGTCTTGTATATTATTTCTGGTTGGTGCAGGATGTGTGAGGCGTATACCACGGAGGAGAGAAGGGACGCCACCGTCTGCTCCACCGTCATGAGTCGCTACATGGCTCCATTCTTGGAGGGGCTCTCTCCAGATGACACCAACCAACACTTCAACACCAACACAGGGCCCATCACGACTGTCGGAGCCGCCTCCGACAAACGCCAGCCTAGTGCCACCCATCAACCAGAGACACAGCAGCAGTAGCAGCGTCACCATCAGAGGGACCATATTACAGCATACCATTGCAGAAGCACTAGAAAAGATCTCTCGCAACAATAGGTAACTTGCACAGCAGTGTGCGGTGGGTGATTTATCAGTTCGATTACTCTGATTTCCTTATTTGTTTGTTGGACTGATTTCCTTTTATTTGTTGGGTTTTGGACGCGGTGTCGGAAGAAATAGTCGTAATTCACTAAGCAAAGCATAATAGGCTATTGGGTCAGTCAATGGTGGTGCAGCAATATTGAATTTCATCCTAGATGCTGGTTACAGCAGATAATGCAAATAAATGCCGATAGGTGTCAATTTCAAGATAAAACATAATTTTAAATTGACTCGTATTAGCCCGTGAATCCAATTTTTCTTAACCCATCTTCATCCATCTTTAAGTGCTTTCGGTGTCTCGTGCTTTCTTTAGTATAATGTCGATTGAGGTTTACTCTGCATTTCATTCAGTGCTTCAGTCTTCTCGGCTTGGCACTTTCTTTTTAATAATTGTCATTCTCTGACTTTATGTACATTGCCGTCACTGTTTTATGATTCATTTAGACACGTTTTGCAAGCATGTTATATTTTCTGAACTTTGTTAGGCGTTCTATTCGTCAGTTGTTCGGACATACAGCCATGTTTCTCTTAACCTGAACAAAGCTGCAGAACTAAACATTGTTTTGGTATTTTTGCGACATGTTGACCATACGAGTTTGTTGTTGTTGTTGTGGTGTGCTGCACATGTGTGTGAATGGTGATTGTGAATTAGGTTACAATCATGAATTTGGCGACGCTCGGAGTTGGGTCACCTTGGTTTGGCTCCTGACTGATCTTGCGTGCAGATTACCGCTGCTTTTTCCCCTCTTGAGGGTGATCTCTGTCCTCTCTAATAACAGAGTCGCCAATGCAGTCGAAAAATGCGTCGTTCTTTCCGGTTTAACTGAGAGTGTAGCAACAAGTAGCGCACCACTTGAGGTACACTAGCTGGCACCTCGTCCATAAAGGGTGTTTACAAATGGGTGCGCGCACAAGGCAATGGGGATCTGTTCCCTTGCCAGGGGAAAGGGAACAGATCCCCATTTGAAATACGGGAACTCCCCATTTGAAAAGGGAACTCATATGGGTTGCCGCCTCCCGCGCAGCCTTTGGTTGCTTCCCTAATTCCTTACTTTCTCTGCCTTGTTTAGCTTAAGTATTAAAGAGCAGGAGAATGTGATACTCGCAGGACAGTGAACTTAACGGAAACAAATACAGATGTTGGAACGGGAATGGCTCGCGTTACTTATGGGTGAAGAATTAATAAAGAAAAAATAGTAACATCCCGCTCAAAAGTGTGTTGGGCGTTTAATAATGCGTTACTGAATTCCTTGATCACCTACTCGGGAATACCTAAGGTTTCTTAGGTTTGGTCTACATTGATTTACCATTTGATAAATTTGTATTTGCTAAGTCGTAGCTAGTTAGCGTTAGGCTATCAATGTTGAGTCGTCGACAGCACTTGATAAGACTATCATTTCCACACTTTTGTTAAAAATTCACTTTAGACTGAACAATGTTCTCGGTAACAGATTTGTCACCTACGTTACTCTTGAGGTAAGAAGAACAAATTTCTTGGTTGGAAATATGCGTTCTTTAGACTTGCTGAAGAATTAGAATATTCTTCCAATGGGTGTTATGTAGTTTGGGGGAGCTACTGCTGAATAGTTTTCTTCAATGAGGCTAGAGCCCCCCCTTCTTATGTCTTGTTGCATGTTAATATTTTAAATATCTTTAATTCCATACTTTTGTTTTATGAACCAGTTTGACCGTTGTTAAAATGATTACTTTTGTATAAAGATTTTTTTATGTCTGTAGTTAAGATGCCACTTAGTTGTCAAAACTACCCTTAGTTATAAGACTATTTCTAGTAATACTGGTTATATCGGCGTGAAAAGTTGGCTAACTAGTCTTAGTTTTTTTTATAGTATATTTATTTTTACTACAGGAGATTTATTGACTAGTACACGAATTGATGTACCTAGTGTAGAAGTTATTTTCGAATACATTATTTGCTGTTGTAATTAGATGTTACAATTATAGATGTCTCCCCATTTTGTAATTGTGGATGTTACTCCGCTTTTTTGTAATTATAGATGGTATCTAAAAGTTGTTTAACACCTATAATCCATGAGGATGTTCATCAGAGTAATATATATCGGCCCCAATTACTAATAATTATTTTATATTTATTAAATCCATCGGTTTTATTCAGTTTCGCAAGAAAACAAATGATAATGTTGCTAAAATGCATATTAATGCCAAGGGCACCTATGAATTTTCTAGTGCCAGGGTTACACCCCCACCTTGTTAAACTTGTTTATAAATATACTAATAGAAATCTTGCAGCATTGTTTATTTTTATTACATCCTGTGTGTGTGTTAACTGAGGGTTAGTGTGATTTATTTTGTGCGCGAAACTATACTAGTCTTTGTAGACTTTCATGGCGTGATGAGGGGGATGTGTTCCTTGATGACGGGAGTGGTAGTGGAGATTGGAGGAGCGTGTCGGAAAATCCGACACCATTTAATATATCATACAGACAGATAATAGCTGTGTTGTATAAACAAGTTAACCATAGAAAACGTAACTTGTAGTGGAATTACCGTCTAAAGAAAACGGGATATCACCACACACTATTATAATTCACCACCTATTATGGTGGGAATTATTCTTAAATACATTAGTCTTTGGACTTTACCATCATAAAAACATCTTATATAAATTAACTTAATTATCAATATTAGAGTAAATGTGACCCTTCTATCACTTTCTGAAATGTGGACAATGTAAGCCAGGCGTCAGAGTGAGGAGGAAGGGGCAGCCATTGTTTATACGAGAGCAGAGGCTCACACGGGAGCAAATTCGGCTCCTGTTAATTTTACTTGGACGTAGTGTTATGGAAACCAAAGGTGTACCATTTTCAACACGCTGTCTACAAATTCAAGTTAAGTGTTCTTTCCGAAACCCATGTATCTTCATTTATGGCCATTAATGTCATTATATAGGGTGAACCGGTTAGAGCACGTGGAAGCCTCAAACTAAAGGTAATTAAGCCAGGTCTTTAATGTTCCATGAACAGTATTTTCTCTGATATAGCTTGTCATATATAGGTATCTGACTTCACAGTTAGCGCCCTTTTGACAGGTCAAGACGAGGAGGCAAGATTTTGTGCACCAGTTACTGGGTGATGGAAGCTACCTCAAAGAGGATAATTTGGTGTCTACACCCTAGTTATACCTGGTGGACTAACCTGCTGTACTATAAGATAAGGAACCTTTTCAATGTATGTAGTTAATACTGTAGTTTGATTGGCTGCATATATATAAATATAAACCCCCCCCTAATGTGTAGAGGATCGATTTGTGAGATTATGAGATTATTGTAGAAATACAGTCCACTTATCATTATACAAATTGCTATCGAAGTATATAAATTAACGTAAATATAAATTCTATATATATTCATATAAATTAAATAAATATAAATCTCACAGGTCGGTTCCCACAGAGCGCTCTGGTTCCAGGCAAAACTAGAATTAAACATTGGGACTCTCAATCGGCAGGGTTTCAATGTACGTGGAAACCTAGGAACAATTTTTTTTAACGGTGTGGGGTAAAATTGCTTTTGTAGGGGGGGGGGGGTATAATATGTTCATCGCAACCCAGCTGAATCAGTTGGCTGCTTATGCGGACGAAGGCCATTTTGGCATTATGGGATTGGCACTGCATTCGGTCCCTGGTGTGCTGTCCATTACTAAATGATCGATTGCAAATGGTAACCTTTTGTTGTCTTCGGGGGGGGGGGGGGGGTGGGGGGGCCCCCATGCTCCGCATTTGCCTTCCCTAGTTGGGCTGTGGTCGGGGAGGAATCGAAGACCATAATTAATCTCTCCCTACCCCCCCCCCCCTTTCCTGAAGACTTGAGTGAACAGGCTCACGAGTCGTCATCTGGAAGATCCATTCCCCTATTGCTTCTGGCGCTACAGCCTCACGGTTTCGTCGCTGCCGCCACGATGGTCCCTGATTTAGGACGAGGATGCAGCTCAGATTTGGTCGCCGTACTATAGAATGGATATAAATTCACTTGAACGTGTCCAGCGTAGGATGACAAAGTTAATTCCCCCATTTAGAAAGCTTTCATATGAAGAAAGATTAAAAACGCCTTTCCAGTGAATGCCATTTAAGCTAAGAGTAAGGGGTGACATGGCCATTCATCCACTTATAAACCTCTGTCATAACAAAGGGGATGTTAATAAGAATATTAAAAGTATCAACCCAAGACAACGAAGCAATGGGTATAAACTGGATAAGTTTAGATTTAGGAAAGACTTTGGTAAATACTGGCTCGATAACAGGGTTTTGTGGAACCAATTTTTTGGTTCCTTAAGCACCTTTTGTGCTTAAGGTGGTGGTGATGGGGGGTCTCTCGATTGTTTCAAATACGAGTGGGATTGGGTGGTTATAAGCTGCCTCGCATGGACAAATAAGTCTTTCTGCAAACAAATGAACAAATCCACAAGGGCCGTGACGAGGGTTCGAACCAGTGTCCGGGAGCATCCCAGACGCTGCCTTAATCGACTGAGCTACGACAGATTCGAATCCTCACGGCCCTTGTGGATTTGTTCATTTAATGCATCACACTATTGTGATTTGTGTGTAAGGCCTTTCTGCAGTTACCTTTGTTCCTATATTCTTATGTTCTTACCTAAATACACGTGTAGGTCTCTTTATCCTATGTTATGTCTGTCACAAGTTATTTCCCTAACTTTATTCCATAAATGTTGAAACGTATACAAAGGTCGCTCAAGGCAAATTCTTGCCAATTTCTTTTTATTTTGACGTGTTTTTTGCTCATGGATATTGCGCCCACTGGATACTGTTCCCCTGCTTCCCGCCTGTCGGAGCCGAGGGCACTGAAGACGCCCAGAGTGTTCCTAATTGGGTCACCAAACAACCCTCTAGACTCTAGAGGAACTGCCGGTGAGGGGTCGCAGATTCCCAGCAAGCAAAATGTTCCAAGCAAATGGTTCTTAATTCATTGCCACTTCAACGTCGTTGGCCCAGATTACTCCGGACAGTTAAGATGGTTTTGGTGTCGGGTGTCAAAACGCCTGGCACCCTCCCACCACAAACGCAAGAGTAGTGTGTGCTCGCCTGGCTCTGGGCGAAGGTGGACATGTCGCCTGTGAGCTCCTGGTTTACTGACGCGTGGTAGTTTGTGTGTGAGCGGACCCTTGGGGCTGTGGCGGCTGGAGGGATGGCGGCCCCCCTTCCCCCTGTGAAGTGGAGGGATACCATTGGACTAAAATTTACTGGCCCAACGTCTTACCCAGCAGTTGAGGTGGTGATGATTAACATGTTGCGGGTGGATGTCTGTGTGCGGCGTTCAACTTGTGTCGGGCATCGAGCTGTTGTGAAATTCTGCTCTACGGCTGTGTATCGTGACTTTGTGGACCGCTTTGACGGGAGGACGTTTACTCTGCCTGAGGGTGGTGTTCGGTGGAAGTGTCGGACAGGTACAGTAAGACTACCTATGTGGCAGTTTATGGTGTTCCCTTCGAGTTCTCTGATTCTCTTCTCCAACGTCACTTTACCCGGTGTGGGCGGGTCTTGAGTGTCCGGATGAATGCAGTCTTTTCCGGGCGGTGGAAGGGTGTTTCAAATGGGACCCGCACTGTGGCGCTGCGCTTGAAGGACCCCATTCCTTCGTCTCTCCTGCTTCTGGGCTTCATGATATGCGTATTCTATGGGGGTCAGCCCGGACTTGTTTTCGGTGTGGACTCTCAGGCCATCAGGCTGCGGGTTGTGATGCGATCCGGGTCGGGCCTGTGAATCTCTTCAAGGAGGAAGACTTTCCCCCGTTGGTGTTCCCGGACCTGTCGGAAGGTGCTACTGTGGTGAATAATACTTCCCAGTCGTCTGGTGCCTCGTTGCCGGTCTCTGATGCCAGCCTCGATGTGGTTGTAGGTGTCGGAGTGGAAGTTAGTGCATCCCTGGCTTCCACACCTCAGCCACCTCTGCCTGCCTCGTCTCCAGTCAAGTCTCCTGTGGTGTGTGGTCTCGTGCCTCCGAACGTCGAGGCTGCGCCCCGGCCTGTACTGTCTCTGGCAGCTGTGTCTTCGGCCCGTGTCGACGTGCACGCTGGGATGTCTCTTGTGGTGTGTGGTCCTGTTCTCCGGGTTGATGAGGCTGCGATGTTGAGTGATCGTGCGCTGCGGGGAGCTGCGCGACCGACCGAAGGTTCTGCTACGGTGCCTCCTGGCGGGGGTGATAGTTCCGACGACCTGTGTCCAAGCGTTCGCGGCGAGCTTTGAGGCTGTCTCCGCCTTGTGGTGAGGCCTGGGCCGACGTCAGGGATTTTGGGGACTCAGGAAGTTCGTCTTCTGTGGATGATGATGTGGGCGACGATGTTGGAGTGCCTGCGGCTCCTGTGGGCCGTGTTGCAGCGGTGGTAGGTCCTGTGGTGGGACTGTCGCCTGGCCCTGGTCCGGTGTCTTCTCCGGCTGCCTCTGCGTCCCCGGTTGCTGGTTCCCCGAGCTGGGAGGTTGTGGCACCGGCCGAGGTTGCGGGAGAGGGAGAGGGACTTGGTGCTGGTTCTTAAGAAAGATTCTGTTCCGGCGGCTCCCGTGCCTCTGGCGCCCATGTCTGTGCCTTCCGCGCATCAGCCCTCAGTGATGCCGACAGCTGCGCGTCTGCCCTCTGCTCAGCCGTCCTTTGTTACTCCGCCCCCCCCCCTGCGGTGTCGGCCCCTGCATCATCGCCCTCTGTGATTGTGTCCCCTGCGCCTCTGCCCGCTATGTTGCCGCCCTGTGTCCGGCCGGCTCCTGTGCTTCAGTCCCGTGTAGTTCTACCGTCTGCACCGAAGAGCTCTGTGCGGCCTCTTCCCGTGACTTCCGCCCCCGTGGTGGAGGGCGCCGACCTGGATGTTCCAGACATCATGCATCGTCCGCGAGGATCACGTAGTCACGTTAACGCGTCTGCGGAATTGTGGGCTCAGTGGGATGCCTACAGGAAGAAGTACCCGCGTCGTTCCTATCCGGATAAATATGATGATGATTAACTGTGTGTGTGGTTCTTGCTTTGTGTTGATTTATTTATTTGTTTTGATGAGCTATGTGATACGGGTTATTTTTTCATGTGTTTCTTGCCTGGTTATTGTTGGGTTATGCTCTAGTGCTTTTTCTTTTCTGACTGTATTTCATTGTTACCTATGTTTATGATTCCATTTTGTGTATTGTATGACTTTTGTTTGTGTGTGTTCCTGTTCTGCAGTTTGTCAGTGTGTTTCTTGCTTTATACATGTGAATGATGCTGTTGATGTTTTTCTGTTTTGTTGTACAATA